GGGAGGGAGGGAGGGAGGAAGGAAGGAAGGAAGGAAGGAAGGAAGGAAGGAAGGAAGGAAGGAAGGAAGGAAGGAAGGAAGGAAAAAGGAGTGTTCTGGCCAAAGGCCAGTCAGTAGAAGGTCAGAGGTAACAGAGTCTATTTCCGAAGGAAGCAGGATCAGCCTCACCAGGTCACCCACACATCTGCAATCCCAACACTTGGGAGGTAGAGGAGGATTAGGAGCAAAGGCTATCCTTGGCTACAAACCAAGTTTGAGACCCAACTATACTCAGTCTACAATGATTTTAAAAATTAAAAAGTAGAATGGAAATTGTATATTGAAAAAGAGGAACAAAGAGAGCTGGGCATAGTGGCACATGCCAGTAAACCCAGCATTTGGGAAGTGGACACAGCAGAATCGTATGTTCAAGGGCATCCTGTGGTGGTTTGAAGGAGAATGGCCCCTACAGGCTCAGATATTTGCATGCGTAGTCCCCAGCTGATGAACTGTTTGGGGAGGATTAAGAGGTGTGGCCTTGCTGGAATGGATATGTCCTTGTCGGAGAAGGTGTGTCACTGGGGGTGGGCTTGAAAGTTTCAAAATCCCATTCCAGACCCAGTGCTCTTGGATCAGGATGTAAAGCTTTCAGCTACTTCTCCAGCACCATGCCTGCCTATGTGCCACCATGCTCCCCACCATGATGGTAACGGACTAACCCTCTGAACCTCTAAGAGAGCCTCAATTAAATGCTTCCTTTGATAAGAATAGTCTTGTTCATGGTGTCTCTTCACAGCAACAGAACAGTGACTAAGACACTTACTATGTATGTAACAAGTTGAGACCAGCCTGAGTTACACGAAAGCCAGTCTCAAAAACAAAAGCAAGAAAGGAGAAGAGTTGGAGGGGAGGAGAGGTAGAGGGAGGGGAGATGATAAGAAAGAAGGATTAACTCACCTCATCTCCAGGCTTGAAATACTTCACATCAAGCCCACACTCCATCACCACACCAGACACATCCCGGCCCAGAGTTAGAGGGAACTCTTCTCCCTTGGTTCTTATATGTAGAGGATCACGCTTCATATTTAAAGCTGTTGCTCCATAACCACCTACAATACACAATTTACCCGCTTCTTAAAAGGTCATGATGATTTTAAAATACTATAGGACACAGGCAGGTCGATGTCACATGCTCAGATGTAGACTCTACTGTTTGGTCACCACACAGTGCCGTGTAAAAACAACTGGGTGTTGTTCCTTTCAAAGAAAATTACTTAGAAAGCTGCAATCACTAAAACCACAATTGCTCAAAGTCTCTTTGAAACTCAGATTGCAAAACTGTCTTCTGCAGTTTTAGAATCCTCTTTTACATAATTGCTCTTTGAAGATGGTATCTCTATTAATTCAGTCATTTGCAAACTTTTAAACTTTTTAGACAGGATCTTGCTATGTGGCCCAGGCTGACCTTAAACTCCTGACCCTCTTATCTTGTCCAGAATGCTGGGGCTTCAGAGATGTGCTACCATGTTTGTAAGAGTTTTTAGCAACTTCTTTGGTCTGTAAAGAAGATAAACGTTCAGGCTATTAAAGAATTCATACATTAAAGTTCCGGCTACTAACACTCGATTATGAGTTTGAGTTCTAGTCTCCGTCTCCTAAAAATCTATGCAGAATAATGATTTGAGTAAGTGCAAAGAATTACAGTGGAAAAGAGCCGCTGGGCTGCATGTGATATGTCTGATCAGGTAGGTCAACTGCATTATATCTGGGGGGTGGGGTGCACTGTTTTTGGAGGTTGTTTTTGAAACAGTGTCTCACTGTGTAGCCCTGGTTGACCAGGACTAACTATGTAGACCAAGCTGACCTCACAGAGATCCACCTGCTTCTGCCTCCCCAGTGTTAGGACTAAAGAAAGGTGTGGTACCACACCGGCTCACATCTTGTTTTTAAGGATATTTACACAGATGACAGATAAGTCAAAGTGAAACCATTCTTTTGGTCAAATGAATTAACTACTCTATGTGCAATAATAATCCAAAATAAGAACTGGGCCTAGCTCCTCCAGAGTTCTCAAAACCAAGGGAAAGCCCTTGAAAATATTTAGTGCTGTCTTCAGGTGAGATCAAAAGCAGCAAAGGGACTCTAAACTAGCACAACACCCCAGACAGGGCAGAAGGAGAAGTAACAATAACCGCGAGGGTTTATGCTCGTGCGAATGACCCACTACAAGAGAACAAAGAAATGCAGGAGAGAACAGAGGCCCCGAGAAAGAGAGGCAGGATCACGGAGACCCGAGGGAGGTCAGCCTTAGATGGGGCAGGACAACCAATCCACACAGCAGTGAAAAGCAGGTAAGGGGATGCTGACCGTGGGCAGTCTGCAGAGCTGTTTTCCTAAAGGGGGAAAATCAAGGCACTTGGGGGAAAAATCAAAGTCGGGATAGTCCCAGGAAAAAGCTGGGCGTCCTCAGGCCAACATTCCACACTCGCCATCTGGCTAGCTAGAACGTGACTTCATCACAGAAAATGACAAGAGTGCATGGGGGCTCACAGGGCCCATGCTCATCTTCCTGTCTATGTGTATTTCCCTCTGCTAAGACACAGCAGTTACTCACTGAAACCCTTTGTGGTCCGAGCAACAGAAGTGTGCAACAGGCCAGAGTGTTTTCAACTGTTTTCTCAATAACTCTAATACGCTAATATACTAAGAGTCTCACACCAGAATGCGGCCAGCTTGCAGTGAGAAACCTGTTCGGTGACAAAATGGGATGTAAGCTTGTCATCCCAGCTTCGGGTGGTAGCACACATAACGCAGACTGGAGGGTCAGGAGTTCGGGATCATCCTCGCCACCTTGAGTCTGAGGCCAGCCCAGCCCACAAGAGATTCTTATAAAAAAACAAGAGTGCCTCCCACTAACACAGGCTTGACTTGTTCAGAGTTGGGCTAATTTGGAAAATCCCCAAGATTTCATCAATTTCAGAGATTTTAATCCCATCTAAAGAAACCAAACTTTGCTGTATATGCTGTTGGCTATATTATTTTAAAATTATTCATTGCTCTAGTCATTTCTATGATTTATTATTTTATGTCCAAGAGTAGTGGCCATTTTCAGAAAAACAGCCTTTATCTGTCAAAATAGATGTTTCTCTTATTTTCTTCTCAAGGGAAATAATTAATTTTCTACTTAAATATTTCTCAAAGCTACCATATAACACTTTCTCAAAAAGCATCCATGGGCTGGAAGATAACTTGCAAATAGTATTACCCAATCAAGTAATAAGATACTAGATCATCTCAAAAACACTCCATGAAAGTAAAGTGCTACAGTATTATATGAAACAGCAGCCTAGAAAGATGTGGACACAGCCATTCTGTTGAAATGAAACTGTACACAGCACACATTGTGCACTCACATCTTATAAAACAACCTCCCTTCAGGCCTAATATAAAAAATAAAAAATTTAAAATGAAGTAAAATATCATATCCAACTAGGAAGAGCAATTATTACATCAGCAGAAAACCAGAGGGAGAGAAATGCAGCTCACTGTCCAGCACTGAAGAGAAAAAAAGTTAAACATAGACTATTGCAATAAAGGTATTTTCAATTGTATTATTATCATACACATTATTATTATTTGGTTTTGGGAGACACTTAATGGCTCAGTCCATGATGGCCTTGAACTCCCTATCCCCTGTCCCTACTTCTGAAATTACAGCCTGAGTTTGTTGATGTTTTGTTTGTGTGTCTGTTATAATACCTAGGCCAACCTCAGCCTTGCTATGTGGCTGAGAATGACCTTGACCTTCTGGTCCTCCTGGCACTACTCCAGTGCCTGGACTGCAGGTGTGCACTGCCACACCCAGCTTCTGGAGCTCACACCCAGGGCTCTGCACAGGGCAGGCAGGTACTCTTATCAACTGAGCTAGCTCGCCAATTTCCGGAGTTTTCCAGCTTGAACGTTTGAAGACTCCAGACCTTTCTCCAAATTTCCTCCTCTGAAGAAAAGCTACTAAGAGTTATTCTGACAGGTAAAGGAAACAAAAATCATTTTAGGGATACTTTACTCAAATATCCACAATATTCCCAAGATAACATGTAATTTTTTTGTTTTGTGGTGCTTATTGTTGCTAATGCTGGGGATCTGGCCCAGGGACATACATGGCTACATAAAGGAATTACTGCTGAGCTATACCTCTGGCCCTGATAAAAATCTGATTGAGACATGTTTAACTCTTTTCTTACCAAGTATTTGAAATCTAGTGTATTTTACAGTGACTGTACTTTCAATTCGGCCCAGCAATACTCACTGCTCAAGCCATATGTGGCTAGTAGCTACTATCCTCAGCAGTATAGGAAGTCACAGTGTTAACCGTAACATTCAACATTAGAGCCAAATGACCTAATCTCCATAAATTTGGACTTGAATTCCCAAACCCAGAGGTTCTCCCGGTTAGGTATGCCTGTAATCTGAACACAGCATCTAAAAAAAAACGTTTCTCCTTTTCCAACAATCTTTGTGAGACCTCCTTTTCATCATTACTTCAAATAACAGTGTAATGGAATATAGAACTATGTATGAAAACCCAGCAAAGAGATGTGCACAGGCGTTCAACAATGCTAATCATCTCATTAAATTTCCTGCTTTATTTTGGAAAATATTTTTTATAATTTATTAAATTTCCTTTATTTGGGGGGTAGCACAAATGTGCCAGAGACCACTTTCCAGAGTGATTTCTCTCCTTCTACCGTGTGGGTCACAGGGACTGAACCCAGGTCTTGGGGCTCAGCAGCAAGTGCCTTTACCCACCGAGCCTTCTCCCTGCATAAGTAGTTCCTGTACCCCAGTAACCCCTTGGAGGAGAATCCTGTGCTTTATCAACTACTGCCCATTTGAGTGGTTCACATATGTAGCTGTCTTCCAGTCCTTTCATACTTTACTCCTGTTTTAATTTTCTATGTACTGTATTTTAAAATAAAAATTTTGGCATTTGTTCAAATTTCTGATAGGATGGTTATAGCTCATATAAAAGTTCAGTAATTTTCAGATACAAATGAGACTTGAAGTCAAATTTGAGAATTGCTAGTCTATCACATCATTTCTGGAGAAGTTGGTCTCAACATTTTCTTCTATTTTTAACTTAATCTGTAACCAGATAATACACACATATACACATATCTGTACATATAAAGAGAAATTAAGTTTGTCACACATTGAGTCATGTATGAGAACTGTTGCTGAGGCACTGAATGCAACTGTAGGCCCCCACACCAGGCCCTCAGAACACTGACCCAGGGTTAAACGTTTGGCAGCTTCCTTAAACACTGGGAGGTTAACTGCCTCAGAACTATTACTGACATCAGTCATCTCAAAACATGTTCATCTTCAGAAGACACAGACTGACCTCCCACAAGCAAGACTGACAATGTTTTTGTCAACATTTTTCCAGAATTAAAGTAATTCATAAATACAAACCAATCTGTTCACTATTATAGCAGAGTAACAGTATAGGATACATTCAAGGAATGCTCTCTCCAAGCTTTTCAACATGGCCCAGCAAGAGAAATGAGGATGATAACATTATACCAATTTCAACAGGTGCATAACAAGAAAACACATTTTAGCTATGGAGGGCAAAATGCACAATGAGAAATGAGAATACTGTGCCCACATCCTGGAGTCCTGCTCTGTTGCTTGGCACCCTGGGCCTATAACAGAAGCTGTGAAAGATGGGAGAGCAAGGAGGATACAGGAATTATATAATCCCAATTCGAACCAATGGGGAAACATAACCAAACTCTGAAACCTACCCTAAAATCACCACCCAGTAAATTAACTGTAGGCACCACTTCTCAGTCCCAATTCACACTTGAAAGAAAGCAACCAAACACACTTAATGAAAGATTAAAGAATTCCTTGGCTATTGTGCCCTCAGAATTTTGGAAGTATTTACAGGGATATTATCAAAAATCCTACACAATTCCGGATGGCCCTGCCTATAGCCGGATGGTCAGTTTAATCCCCTGGGCCCAAACGGTAGAAGGAAGGAACCCCGTCCCCCATGTCGTCCTTTGGGCTCCACTTAAGCACGGTCCCATGCACCCAAACACAAAATAAATACACATAACAACAGTAAACCTAAGTGACTCCTTTATGCCAACACTTGCTATCCCAGGACTGGAAAGGCAGGTCAAGGAGGCCTGCGGAGTGGAAACTGGTCTGTGGTCTACAGTGAGTTGGAGGCCAGCAGGGGCTAGATAGCGAGCTCTTGTTTTAAAACAAAGCCAAACAAAACCACACAAACAAAACACCTGCATGCCTAATGATTAAAAAAAAAAAAGATCTGGACAACTTACTTCTCATATTAACATCTATAGGATTTACACTGGCAGCATGGACTTTGATAATGACTTCGTTTGGGTAGTGTATGATGGGTAACAACATGCTCTGAGTGAATCGAAGAACTTCATTCTTTCCATATTTATCTATCACCCAAGCGGGCATGACCGTGCTCCTGGCAGGCGTGGTACTAATCTCTCTGAATGGTCGCTTTGGGATAACTTTGCTTCTCCAGAAGCAGGCGGCGGCGGCGGCACATGCACTTCTTCTAAGTACACAAGACTTCAAAACTTCCATCCTGCACAGGGATGGAGCCGCGTCCTCACAAATCAAGAGAGGGAAACGGCCAGATTCTGTCAAACCCACCAGTCAATTAAAGGGGGAGGAGATTCCAGAAACAAACTCAACCCGATGAAGCAGCGGAAGGAAGAGAATAGAGTTGCAACTATGCTCCCCAGGTCAGAAATGCTGCAGTCATTGACGTCCAGTCAGTATTCTGTGCATCCCCCCTTCCTTCTTTCCTTCCTTCCACTCTCTTTCCCCTTAAGAAAAAAAACAAACAAACAAGCAGAGAGAGCCCTCGGCCAGGCGAGCAAACTGCATAAGCAATCCCTGAGCCAGGCCGACTGGAAGCCTCCGATTCCCGACGCGACCCCAGCCGCGGTCTCCTTGCCTGTCCGCGCGCCTCCGCCGCCGGAGCGCCAACCAATCGCGTGCAGCGATCATTTCCGCAGCCGGGAGCTCAGCCAATCCAAGCGCTCGGTGTTGAAGAGGCCCGTGAGGATCCAAGATGTCTGCGCCCATGTAAGGCTAGTGACCGGCGGCGACTTCTTCCTCCGCTCCGGGCCCCTCTGGTACCAGGATGAACCTGAGGACTATGCTGGGCCGGACTCTCCGAGAAGTGAGTGGATGTGACCTGGAGGGGACCCGGGAGGGCGGAGACACTCGAGGACTCCGAGGTCAAGGTCGCCCCGGGTCACCCCGCACGGCTCGGCCCTCCTGGCTGCCTACATTGCTGAGTGGGAAGGGGGATTCGAACCTATCGCTCTTAGGCAATACACCCCATACCCATTCCCAGGAGTGAGGACGTCAAGAGAAATGTTTGCACCGATAAGCCGTGGGGTCATCCCTCCCGCGCGATTTGGGGAAGGGTTCTCAGATCGACCATTTCAACCCTGTCCCGGCTGTGCTCGCTTAGGGGCGGGGCGAATTTGTATCATGCAAAATCCGAACGAAATAATTGGTTCCTTTAAAAAAAAAAAAAAACTACATTCTTCAGAGACCCCCAAATGACTAGGATTCCTACCACTGCCTTCTCTCCTGAACATCATGTTTGAACCCCTGCTTAAGCTGCAGGTCGCAACCCCATATATAGCAGAAATTTTGACAGCAGTTTAAAGGGGGGCGCGGGGAGGTGGCGGGGTTCCTGAGAGACCGTGGCCAAAGTTAATTCAAAATCAAAGGCGTTGTGAATCTAAGGTGTTCTGGCAGCGCTCACCGATGCTTCCTCCCTGCTTCACTGCAGCAAGGTTCAGCACCATGTTTGCCTTCTCCAGTAATAATGCCTGAATCATCTCAACTCAGAATCGAGACCTTTGTGTGTAATGAATTGCAGAGGGGTTTGTTATGTGTCTTATGGATTGCAGTGGTTCTTTTCTTTTAACCATATGTGCAACTTTTCCAAACTTGTAGACACGTAACTGTTTAATTGCAGGAAGTAAAAACTTTTAATATTTTCCTAAATCATTTCTCAGCTTGTCACATACCCTTAGTATGAAATTCGTATATCTTTGGTTTATTGGTGTGAAGGAGCTTGATTCTAAAAATGGCTGTTTGAGTTTCACTTGAAAATCATTAAATGGATTTTGATCTGAGATTATTCAGCTATTTCTGATATAGCCCTAAACATGGCCCCACCATTTTGTATAGGGTATTTATTTTATGTATCAGTTCTCAGCACTGGTAATTTTCAAATCGAAATATTGGTAAACTGAAAAAAAAAATGGAAGCCTAGATCCTGAAATATCAAATATTCAGCCAAGATTTCATTCTTTATTTAAAAATAAGCAAGTATATGCATTTTATGGTATGCAAATTTGTTTTAATCTTTAATAGTAAAATTATGTGTACCAAAGAATTTTTTTGTTTTGTTTTGGTTTTTCAAGGCAGGGTTTCTCTGTGTAGCTTTGGAGCCTGTTCTGGAACTCACTCTGTAGACCAAGCTGGCCTCGAACTCACAGAGATCCACCTGGCTGTGCCTCCCGAGTGCTGGAATTAAAGGCATGTGCCACCACCGCCCAGCCCAAAGAATTTTTTAAATATCTCTTTGTTTTATGTATGTGGATATTTTGTCTGCATGTATATCTGCACACCACAAGTGGGCATCAGATCTCAGTTGAGAGCTGCCATGTGGGTGCTGGGAATTAATTCAGGACTCCTAGAAGGGCAACCAGTGCTCTCAACTGCTGGGCCACCTTTCCAGCCCCCCTAAATTGTTTTAAAGTAAATTTATTTATGACTTATCCATAAATGATTTGTATACCTTTTTTTAAAAAAAGATTTATTTATTTATTAATGTATACAGTGTTTTGTCTGCCTGTATGTCTGCAGGCCAGAAGAGGGCATCAGATCTCACTGCAGATGGTTGTGAGCCACCATGTGGTTGCTGGGAATTGAACTCAGGACCTCTGGAAGAGCAGTCAGTGCTCTTAACCTCCCAGCCATCTCTCCAGCCCCTTGTATACCTTCTTACTATACCGATATACCAAGGTTTTGCAAAATTTCTCTGACAGAAAAGGATTGTGTATGGAAAAGGCTTAAGAAACCCTGCCCTAGACTCCAGTTGTAGATAACTTCTGGAGGTCTCTTCCGGATGCCTCATAACACACTCTAAAGCAAAGTGCTGGTATACCAAGCCATCAAGAAAGTAAAACCCAAAGCACAGCTATTATCCATTGGCCCGTAGACTGTCCTTCACATCCTGTATTTGTTAAATCACTAAACCCTCTATAATCTCTTCTGTCACTTACTCTGAATTCTTACTCTTAACCCTTTTTTTTTTTCATTTATTTTACATAACGACCACAGTTTCCCTTCCCTCCTCTCCTTTTCCCTCTCCCCACCTCCCTTCTACCCTCCCCCCATCCACTCCCCCTCCTTCTCCATTCAGAAATGCAGGCCTCCCATGGGCATCAATAAAGCATGGCACATAAAGTTGAGGCAGGACCAAGCTCCTCCACCTGCATCTAGGTTGGGCAAGGCAGCCCAGCATGGGGAACGGGTTCCCAAAAGCCAGATCAACAGGGACTGGTCCTGATCCCACTGCTAGGAGTCCCACAAATAGACCAAGCTACACAACTGTTAGACACATGCAGAGGGCCTAGGTCAGTCCCATGCAGGCTCCCTAACTGCTAGTCTAGAGTCCGTGAGCTCCCAGTAGTTCAGGTCATCCTCTCTGTGGGTTTCCTAGTCATGATCTTGACCCCCTTTGCTCTTATATAATCCCTCTGGACTCCAGGAGCTCAGCCCAGTGCTTGGCTGTGGATCTCTGCATCTGCTTCCATCAGTCACTGGATGAAGGTTCTATGATGACAATTAGGGTAGTCATCAATCTGATTACAGGAGAAGGTCAGTTCAGGCACCTTCTCCACTATTGCTAGGAGTCTTAGCTGAGGTCATGCTTGTGGATTCCTGGGAGTTTCCCTGGCACCAGGTTTCTCCCTAATCCCCAAATGGTCTCTCCATCAAGATCTCTCTTTCAATATTCTCCCCATCTGTCTGGCCGGCCCCCATCCCAACCAACCAAATCCCTCCTGTTCCCATACCTCCATCCCCCTCCCTTCTGCCCCCAGTTTACCCAGGAGATCTCTTCTATTTCCCCTTCCCAGGGAAATCCATGCATCTCTCTTTGGGCGTCCTTGTTACCTAGCTTCTCTGGGGTGCTCTTAACCCTGATTCATGTTTTAACATGGATCACCTGGCTTTGTCTGAGGCCAGACTCTCTCAGTCTTTACAACAGTCTGCTTGCCCACTCAGAATCACCTGGGGCTTTAGTTAAGCCTTCTATTGGTTCCCACTCTAGTCTTAATTACATCAGTGTGATTAAAACTAGACTATATGGCTTTAGTAGGGTCTCTGGGTGGATTCTGGTAACAGTATTGAGTCCCTGTCCTGCCCTACCATTTCCCTTTTGTGTCCCCATTTGGGAGGCCTCTTCTTTCTCAACTGGCAGCATTTCAGGAATTATAAATTGTAATGAGACATTTAAATCCATAGGCTTTTAGTAATACTTTTCCCCAAAATACTATCCTACATTGTATGTAACATATCCTACCGTTAGTGAAAAGTCAAATTTGTTCTTTTTGTTGTTGAGGTAGGATCTTGTGCCCAGGCTAGCCTTGCTAAATTTGTTCTCAAAAAAGAGTGGGAATCCCCAAAACTTGTTTAAAATACAGCCTATTAAAAAATGTGGCCTGGCCAGGCGGTGGTGGCGCACACCTTTAATCCCAGCACTTGAGAGGCAGAGCCAGGCAGATCTCTATGAGTTCCAGGCCAGCCTGATCTACAGAGTGAGATCCAGGACAGGCACCAAAACTACACAGAGAAACCCTGTCTCGAAAAACAAAACAAAACAAAAAAGAAGTAAAGCCCAGTGCCGGGTCCTGCCTGACTGTTGACTATTGAACAGTCCTTGAAGAGAGGAGTGAGTATTGAAAAATAATAGATATGAAAAATAGAGATGTAGATGATGAAAAGAAAAAGACAGAGACACAGAATAGCATCCAGAGGGCTCTGGGTCAATACCACAGTCACCCTGATTTTATTCTTCATGAGCTTTTTATACACCAGCAAGGTGAGAGGCAAAAGATCTCCCCCTCTCAAGGACACCAGGGTTCAAGGTACAAAGTACAGATAAATAGAAACACTTCCTTAATTCTCAAAACATCTATTAGCCACACCTTATGGCAAAGCATCCTGTAATTAGGCCTTGAAGTATAAGACACCTGGTAACCACTTCTTAGGCCAAAACATCCTATTATACAGCCTTGCTGGGCAAAACAAACTTGGACTCTCTGACCTTGATTCAAGATGGAGTAAAGCCACACTATGGAGTCTCTGTGGGCTCCTACAGCCCAGGAGGGCAGGCAGCCACAGCTTCAACTCCAGGTGAATCTCAGTGAGTCTCAGTTCCAGGACAGCCAAGGCTGCACAGTGAAATCCTGTCTTAGGAAAAGGGTGTGTTGGGAGGTAGTTGCACAAGTGTATTTAGGTTTGACTCTTAGTTTATCCTGGCTTGATCCCAGTTTTCTTGGAGTTAGACCCCAGGCTACTGCAATTAATCCAGTAGTTTGTATGGATTGGCTTCTCAGGGTTCAAAACCAAAAAGATTTTCTTAGCCAGTGTTTTACTGCTGTGAAGAGACACCATGACCACAGCAACTTTTATAAAGGAAAGCCTTTAATTGAGGCTTGCTTTCAGTTTCAGAGGTTTAGTTCATTGTCATCACAGCAGGGAGCATGGAGGCAGACATAGTGCTAGAGAAGGAGCTGAGAGTTCTATATGCAGATCCACAGGCAGCAGGAAGAAGCACTGGGTTTGGCATGGACTTTTGAAGCCTCAAAGCCCTCCCCTAGAGACACACTTCCTCCAGCAAGACTGTACCTTTAAACTACTGCCATTCCCTAAGCATTCAAATATTTAAGCCGATGGGGGCCCATTCTTATGCAAGCAACCACATTCCATTCCTGGGCCCCCATAGACTTATATCCATATCATAATGCGAAAATTCAGTCACTAAAACTTCAAAAGTCTCCATAGTCTGTAACACCCTGCAAAATCAAAATCAAAGCAGATCATATACTTCCAACATACAATAGCACAAAATATACATTACCATTTGAAAAAGGAGGAAAGAGCACAGTGAGAAAATACTGGATCAAAGTAAGACCTGAAACCAGCTGGGCAAACTCCAAACTGCATCTCCTTGTCTGATGTCAAAACACTCTTCAGATCGCCAACTCCTTTCAGCTTTGTTGACTGCAACACACTTCTCTCTCTTGGACTGGTTCCACTCCCTGTTAGCAGCTCTCCTTGGCAAGTATCCCACAACGCTGGCTGACATCTCCAACATCTTGAGGTTCCCAAGGCAATGCAGGCTTCACTTTCACGGCTTCACACAATGGACTCTCTGGACACACATTCAGGGACACACATGGCATATGCCTGGCCTCAGTGGCTTTCCTTAGTTGACTCTACCACTTGGCTGAAACTTCCAAGTTCTGCTGCTTGTTGGGGCTAGAGCATGGCCCCCTCGTTCAATCACGTCTGCATCAGCTTTCTGTTGTTGATGGTTTCCTCCATGTCTTAAGCTTTCTCTAATACCTTTTTATTTTTATTTTTATTTTATTTTATTTTATTTTATTTTATTTTATTTTATTTTTTTTTGGTTTTTCGAGACAGGGTTTCTCTGTGTAGCTTTGCGCCTTTCCTGGGACTCACTTGGTAGCCCAGGCTGGCCTCGAACTCACAGAGATCCGCCTGGCTCTGCCTCCCGAGTGCTGGGATTAAAGGCGTGCGCCACCACCGCCCGGCTCTAATACCTTTTTACAAGTTGGAAGCTTAGTTGGGTGGAGTCTTGCTCTGTGGTCACCACTCCCTTTTTATTCCTTTAGCATCAGGATTTTCTTTAAACTTTTTAATCTCCTCAAGCATTGGATTTAGCTCCATTACGTTTCCTGGTGCTCCTTTTCTCCTCAAACTGTACATTTTGATTTTTTCCTTGCTTAACTTGTTCCTTTTCATTATAGATTTGCGTGGGAGTGGCCACTGATAACCACATGGCACAGTCAATACTAGAGTGTCTTGAAATCTCTTCCAGTGCCATTAATCCAAATTCTTCAATTCAGCCTCAGGCTGATTTTTTGGGCAAGGGCAAAAAGCAGCTACATTCTTTGCCATTCCCACAGTTCTCAGCACTAAGAATGTCATTGCTTTGATGATATGTGTAGTAGGCAAAAGCTGATCTTTTGCAGACCCTTCCCCTAAATGCAAACTCCTGTTGCTTTATACATTCCCGACATGAGAATACAGTCAACGTAGAGAACATACTCTTTACCGTGAGAGTAAACATAGAAGTGGTAAGGAGAGTATATTATGAAGTCCCCTTGTCCTGTCCTGTCCTGTTGTGTGCCTTTGAACAAATGGACAGCTTCTGGGCTTCCGTTTCTTCATTTGTCCAAGATGGTTAATAATGTCAAACTTCCTAATGAATTGATGAAACAAACCAACAGTGCCTGGCTCTTGGTAAATACTCATTGAGAATTACTTTATTCCAGACCCCCTTGTCTCTGAACTCACATAACAGGTGGATGATGCAGCTGTTTTTGCATATTGTCTCCAAAGACAGCCTGATATCATTGACTTCTTGTTACCTGTCCTTTTGTGATCAGCAAGTACCTAGTCTTACTTCCTGCAGAACATGGCAAATAATACTCACTTCATCTCAGGTCTCACTGCCAAATAATAGGTACTGGTCACTTCTCATGCATTTTTTAAAGATCTAATTTTTTTGTGTTTTAATTGTGTCTGTGTTCTTTGTGTATGTGCACATGAGTTCAGGCACTTCGGAGGACAGAGGAGTTGGCTTCCCCAGACCTGGAGTTATAGGCCTTGTGAGCCACCTGAGATGGGTGCTGGCAACCAAACTGGGGTCTTCTGCAAGAGCAGTCTATGCTTTTAACTGCTGAGCTATCTCTGCAGCTCTACTTCTCATGCGTTTTAACCCTTCATCCACCAGCCTTTTTTTTTTTTTAATTTCTTTTATGTCCATTGGCATGAGGGTTTCAGATCCGCTGCAACTGGAGTTATAGAGAGTTGTTAGCTGCCATGTGGGTGCTGGGAATTGAACCCCAGGTCCTGTGGAAGAGCAGCCAGTGCACTTAACGTCTGAGCCATCTCTCCAGTCCTCACCAGCCTTCTTCTTTTTTTTTTTTTTT